TATATATATATATATATATATATATATATATATATATATATATAGTTTATATCATTGTCATTTGACGTAACATATTTAAATATACGAAAACTGATTTCACTATCTGAAATTGCAAATTATTCCATAAATTTTTTTATGAATAAAAATTATATTTTTTAATAAAAAAATTATAGAAACGTACATTACCGAATGTAAGCACCGACATATTAATCAACTTTCCGGCACTCATATTTACACTGACACTAGACCGTGAAATGATCATCATTAAATTAAAGATATCTTTGTTAGATAATTCATACCAATTTGTCATATAAACTATTTCTCCGATCTTTTTACACTATCAAGAATTCGAGTGGTAAAATCGAATGGTAAAAATGTAACTGATTGATGTATTATAATATGTAATTTACCTGTTCTGTTAGAATTTCACCGATGTAATTGATTAAAAAAATATTACAAGTCATAGATATAATTATCATAACATATACAGCCAAGTTCTGAATATTATGTTCAGACCATTCCTAGGAAAAAATAATATATTTAATTAATCATGATTCAGATTAATTTAATAATTTTTTTAATTATTTCAATTTGTGAAAGTATAAAATTATATTTTATGTATGTTATCATGTAAATTAGACAAATAATGTGTGAACATAAACGTTTATATTATTAATAATGTGATGTGAACATAAACACTTATATTATTAATAATGTGATATAGATATATAGAATATCTATGATAAAATATTTTTTAATGTGAAATCCGATAAATTATTTTGAATATAGAGTACAAAAGAACAATAATAAAAAAATAAATCTACGGATCGTAATATCAATAGACTTATAAAATCAATAGATCCAAATAAAATTGCTATATACACGCATTTTGATACATTTAGCGTACCGCAAGGATGTAATAGCTAGGCATGCACATTCCCACCATACATTTGAACATTTCCATGAAGCATATTGGATTCATCAGGTGTTCAATATGTGTTATAAAACTGTAGTTAACGAGTAATTAGAGAAATTCTCTAAAAAAGTATCAAGATAAGAATCAAGATAAAAATAATTTTTACCTTAAAACTCTCAAATGATGTTCGACGATTATACTTATTTTATTAACATAGGCATCATTATTCGACTCCATCGGTCGATTAACAAACTCGTTGATCCATGCTACCATTATATTCAGTTGGCCAAGAGCATGGCTTGCAAACACAGCAGCAAGACTAAAAGCGCCAGCAGCGCTCGAACTGTTAATAAATGCCGACAATAATTGCGTACCTAATATGATATCATGGGTTGGATTTGTTTGAACTGGAAATTTATAGGCTGGACAAAGTAAACTATATATTTCTATCGTCTCATTGCCGTTTTTGATAGTCGTTTTAAACGCTCCTAATGCAAGGCAAGTACATAAAACGCCACCTTGCAAGAAAGCTGTACAAAAAGCTGCAATGTAACGACCAATTTTCGCGTACTTCAACATCACTTGTTGATCTTGCTTCTTCGTGATAATGCTCCAATCGACACGTATGTGTTCTATGCAGTGCAATATATCATTTTCACGTAGCAAAAGTATGGCGTAATTGAATCCTCCGACGCAATAATGACTTAAAGGACCTACTGTTTTTAATTTCAAATAAATATCTTCTTTTTCTAGAAGAAAATGAAGTAAGCCGGGAATTAATGTAAATAACGAAAAACTCCAACAAAGAATGATTAAAATTTTCGATATTATTTTTTCGTTCCTTGTAGTACAAAGTGAAGTTGGCCATGCACCTATCGGTTTTAAAATCCATCGATTGAATTGTATGCTGTATTCATTAAGACTGCCAAATTTCTTCTCAATTTCTACGAGATCGTCTGACATGATGTGATCACAACAAAATCGCGCACGCAACTGAATCGAGGATTCAGTGCACTGTATTTACTCAACGCTTGCGCATACTTAGTCAAAGGATGTGCGCCGATCGATTCGTCTAGTCAGTTGATATAACTTTACGTGAGTATTCATTTCAAATTGTTGATAATAAACATGAATTAGATAATGTGTGTGCAATAGAAATTAAATTATATATTTATGAAGTAATTTTCAACATTTGCAACATAATTTGATGTGCCAGATAATGTCATTCTAAAAATTAGTGAATAAATATGATTATTCAGCCTGGTTTTTTGATGATCATGATTGATTGTCTGAATTTTTTAAGAAAGGGAGATAATCGAGTTATTACATATTATTTTAAATATTACTACTGTGTCTATTTTAATTAAATCAATGTAAGTAAATTATACAGATAAAAAAATTTTCAAAATTTTTTTCTGTACAAATGTATATGAAATATGCTGTATTTATATATAACGATATTATAAGATTGCAAATTACAACAATTTGGAAAAGAAAAATGCAATATATTTGATCATTATGGATGAAAAAAATATTTCTTATAGTTTCAAAATCATTTAAATGTAATTAATATGCAAAGTTTATTTTTAAATGTATATTCGATACATACTTTTTTATATGCTTAATACATGTGCACTTTACAATATTGTCATTTGGCGTAATATATTTAAATACGCAAAAATAGTTTTTACCATCTGAAATTTTAAATATATTATTATGAAAATTTTTGAAAATGAATGATATATTAAAAATTAAAAAACGTACATTACCAAACGTAATCACTGACATATCAATTATCTTTCCAGCAGTCATTTTGTATTCTATGCTACATCGTGTAATAATCATTATTAGATTAAAAATATCTTTTTTAGGCAATCGATACCAATTTGTCATGTAGACGATATTACCAATTTCCTTACACTTTTCAGTTAATATTTCACCAACATAGCATATTAAAAATGTTCCTAAAGTTATATTCATTACTGCAGAAGCATATGCACTGAGGACCTTAATATCATGTCCAGACCATTCCTAAGAAAAAAATGAATATTTTCAATTGAATCGATTATTTATATTGTCCATTTTATTTCTCATGATTCTCTTATTGTTATTATTATTATTATTATTATTATTAAACTTGTGACATTTATAAAAAATTACAATTATATAAAATATGATTCATTTCATTAATTTCAATTATCTTCGAATAGTCAAAGTATTTCACTAATGTCTAATTCACTGATAGTATGTTTAAAATTATAAAAATAAAATAGATGAACCATTATTGTTGAACCATTATTGATGAACCATAATAAATGAACCATGTTCTACATTAAATTATATAAATAAAGAATAATTCTACTCAAAATGATGAATTTGACAAATAAAATGGACACAAATTCATATCTTGATGTCAATATTTCAAAAATTATATCTTAATATTTTTGTTTACAGGTAATAAAAAAACTTGTGAATGATATGTTGCATTACGAATGAATTCATCATGTGATCAATTGGAAAAATATTTTTAATACAGAAATGCACAAAACTAATGATCTTAAAAACGAAGTTCTCAATAAAAAATATTTTTACATTTTAAGAAATAACATACCGCAAAAATGCAATAGCTAAGCATGCATATACTCAAAATATTCTTGAACATTTCCATGAAGCATATTGGACTCAATAGATGTTCAGTACGTTCTAGGAAACTTCAGTTAATATGTAATTAGAGAAAATTTCTAAAGAGAGATAGAAATAGATAGATAGATAAAAGGAAAGAAACAGTAAAAATAGAAAGAAACTATACAAAAAATGTTACCTTAGAATTCTCAAATGATGTTCAATGATTACACTTATTTCATCAACGCGTATATTTTTATTTTCTTCTTGTGGTCGATTTACAAATTCTTCGATCCACGTAACCATTATAGTTAGCTGACCAACAGCATGGCATGCAAACACTGTAGCAAAGCTGAAAGCTGTAATAACGGTACCTGTTGCAATGTATGCTGCCAGAAATTGAAAACCAAGGACGATGTCGTGCCCTGGATTGGTATCAACCGGAATTTTATAAGTTGGAAAGGGTAAGACGTATATTTCCATGCTTTCGTTGCTGATTTTAATTGTCCGTTTGAAAATTCCAAATACGGTGCAGAAAGTAATAGTACTAATTTGCATAAAACTCGCGAAACAACAGGAAATGATGCGACCAATTTTTGCGTTTTTAAGCATTATTTGCTGATCGTCTGTCCTCGTAATTGCCTTCCAATCAACTTCCATATGTTCTATACAATAGCGTATATCATTTTTACGGAGTAACAAAACGGCATAATTGAGTCCTCCGCCAAAGCAGTAGCCTATAGGGCCGAGCGTTTTTAATTTTGAAATGATATCCTCTTTCACAAAAGTAAAATGTAACAAGCTTGGTATGGTGACGAATAACGTGATGATCCAACAGAGAAAAATTAGAATCTTTGTCATTATCTTTTCGAATTTCGACGTGGAGGATGAAAGTGGCCATACTCCTATTGTTTTCGAGATCCATCTGTTCAATTGTATGCTGTACTCATTCAGACTGCCAAACTTCTTCTGAATCGCAGCAATGTCGTCCGCCATCGTCTTTCCTCAACGAAGTTACAGAAACGACTGAATGGTGTACATACAGTATCGTATGGATGATATGCGTCAATCGATACATATATTCCGTTGCCATAACTATTAGCGACAGTTAATCTGTATATTTACGTTCAGTTCATTTCCAATAGTTGCATGTGTCGCACAATGTGTAGTCGATTGATTGGTTTTAAATTAAATTAGATATCTTAGTGGAATGATAAAATTTGTAAGACGCTTTTTATAATAGAATATGTGATTTTGAAATATATATATATATTAGCAAATGTCAAACGAAAATGGAAGATAAATAAGTAATTTTTTTTTAATTATAATAGTGTTTAAATACACTATAATACACACCATACAGTATAATATATAGAAGATTATGATTATTAATCTTTTTGGAATAATATTTGTAGAAAAAAGATCAACTCTGGGTTTTATATCTGATGCATTAAATAATCTTGAAATACATAGAATATGTCAGAAAAAATTTCTATTGCTTATTCTGAAATTTATATATAATCTTAGAATATAATTTTTGAAGTAAGTAAAATTTTCAAATGATAATCATTTTGGTAAAATTTTTCTGAAATATATAATAAGGATAGAGGTAGAAACAATCAAACATGTCTCAGATGACTGTAATATCTGTAACAGAAAATAATAAAATGAAATATGAATTTTGAATTCAATTGGATATGATAAAGGGATAGATAAATCTTTCATTCACGTCACAAAAGATAAAAATAATTCTACAAAATTTTCAATGTCAATTTTAAAGAATTTAAAATTATAAATATTAATATAAAATATTAATATCAATTTCTTTTCTTATAGATAATACCAATTATTAAAAAATTATATAATACAAACCAATGATTGTGCACTCTAGAAAATGATTGAATATAAATTTTATTTTTTATTGCAGGTACTATAAAAATGAATAATCCTTTAAAAACATAAAATATTTCATCCGGAAAAATTCTATCAATGTAATATGATATAAAAATATTGGATATAAAAAATATGGAATACATTACATTAACGTTCCCAATATTCTCATTCCTAAAAAATTGAGAACGAATATAACACATACAGTGCTGTTTTCTAATCATAATCATCTAATAATGTATTTCGATATAATTTCATTATCATAAATAGATAATATCCCAGAAAGTATATATTTAATGTATATCTGCAAATTGAACGAAATATATTTTTGTTAGAAGATCTATTTAACATATAAAACTAAAAATCATTATTTATAAATAAAGTATGATACAAATCTATATGAGTTGCACTTGTTTTTTATTTTTATATTATGTAAATGATGTTTCAATATCATCTAATTGTTTATGTATCTTCATATTCTTGTCTCTTTTCAGATCATTGTCATCGCAACTTTGTCAGCATGCAAACACGGCAATCAAATACCTGAGAGTTGCAGAATATACCACAAATGCGACTAAGTATTGCATCAATTGTATGATTTCGAAAGACAGAGTGGATCGTGGAATTCATAATAGACAAAGGAGTTTTGAGATGTCATGATCTCGTTATTTTTCTCTATTTTGTATAAAGAAAGATCAATAAAAAAAAAAAAAAAAGAATCAAAATATATGAAATCAGCATAATTAATATAATTTTAAACTTATAATATATATATTTATTTCAAATTTTTGATAATTGATAATATGAATTGGACAATGTGTGTCCAATGTGTATGCAATGGAAAATAAATTATATATTTTTGAATTATTTTCGGTATCTATACATGATTTGGAAATGTTAAATAATATCACTTTATTAAAAATTAGTAAATGAAGATAATTTATTTTTTAGTTAATATTTTTTCTAAGACTATTTTTTTTTGGAAAATAAATAATATTATGTGTTTAAAATAATCGATTAATGATCGATCTGTAACAAAATATTACGATTTTAAAGATTCATTATAATTAAATTGGTGCAAGTAAATTACATAAATACAAAAAAATTTTTTAAGTTTTCTCTATATAAGTATATTGTATGGAATGCGTTGTACTTATAATAATATTATTTTTTTTGGAATAAAAGAGATGCAATATATACTTGATCATTATATATGAAACAAATTTTCATATTTATTCAAATGAAATTACTAATATGCAAAGTTTATTATTAGATATTTTAGATATATATTTTTTTATATATTCAATACATGTGCACTTTACAATGTTGTTTGAATTAATATATTTAAATACGTAAAAATAGTTTTTATTATCTGAAATTTGAAATATATTTGTATAAATATTTTCGAATGGAACAATATACTTCTTAAAAAAATTAAAAAATAGACGTACATTACCAAACGTAATTACTGACATATTAATTATCTTTCCGGCAGTCATTTTGTATTCCATTCCAGATCGTATCATAATCATAATCAGATCAAGAATATCTTTTTCAGATAATTGATACCAGTTTGTCATATAAATCATATTACTAACTTTTCTACATTTTTCAGAAAGTATTTCACCGATATAACATATTAAAAATGTATTTAATACTATACACGTCACGCAAAAAGCATATGCACTGAGGGCTCTAACATCACGTCCAGACCATTCCTACGAAAAAATGAATATGAAGTATGCTGTTCATATTATTTCTCACGATTCTATTATTGCTTGAATTTGTGATATTTATAAAAAATTATGACAATTATATAAAACAGTTCATTTCATTAATTTTAATTATCTTGGAATATTATTTAATCAAATTTAAATTTAAATTGAATGAAAAGTGATGAATTTGATAAATAAGATGGACACAAATTTATGTCTTAAATCAATATTTTAAAAATATCTTAATATTTTTGTTTACAGATAATAAAGAAATTTCTGGATGATGTGTTGTATTACGAATGAATCATCATGTGATCATCAGTTAGAAAAAATATTTTTAATAGAGGAATGCACAAAACTAATGATCATAAAAACGAAGTTCTTAATAAATATATTTAATTTAAAAAATAGCATACCGCAAGAATGCAATAGCTAAACAAGCATATACTGAAAATATTCTTGAACATTTCCATGAAGCATATTGGACTCAATAGATGTTCAGTACGTCCTAGAAAACTTCACAGTTAATACGTAATTAGAAAAAATTCTCTCAAAAGGGATAGAGATAAATAGATATATAAAAGGAGTTAAACAGTAGAAACAAAAAGAAATTAATCAAAAAATAGTACCTAAGAATTCTTAAATGATGTTCGATGATTACACTCATTTCATTAACTCGCATATTTTTATTTTCTTCTTGTGGCCGATTTACAAATTCTTCGATCCACGTAACCATTATAGTTAACTGGCCAACAGCATGGCATGCAAATACCGTAGCAAGACTGAAAGCGATAACAACGGTAGTACTCATAATGCACGTTGTCAAAAATTGAAAACCAAGTACGATACTATGCCCTGGATTAGTATCAACCGGAATTTTATAAGTTGGATAAGGTAAGATGTATACTTTTATGCTTTCGTTGCCGACTTTGATTGTTTGTTTGAAAACACCCAATATAGTGCAAAAACAAATACTGTCAACTTGCATGAAACCTGCGATGCAACCGGAAATTATGCGACCAATTTTTGCGTTTTTAAGCATTACTTGCCGATCTTTTATTCTTGTGATCGCATTCCAATCGGTTTCTATGTGGTCTACACAATAACGTATATCGTCTTTAAGAAACAATAATACTGCATAATTAAGCCCTCCACCAATACAGTAACTTATTGGGCCAATCATTTTCAGTTTTGATATGATATCTTCTTTCACGAGAATGAAACGTAACAAGCTTAGTGTTGTAACGAATAGCGCGATGATCCAACAGAGAAGAATTAGTATCTTCGTCATTATCTTTTCGAATTTCGATGTAGAGGATGGAAGTGGCCATAACCCTATTGTTTTCGAGAGCCATCTATTCACTTGTATGCTGTACTCGTTCAGACTGCCAAACTTCTTCTGAATCGCGATAATGTCGTCCGCCATCGTCTTTCCTCAACGAAGTTGCAGAAACGACTAAATGGTATACATGTACGATGTCGTACAAATGATACGCGTCGATCAATATATATATTCCGTTACCACATCTATTGACAACGGTTAATCCATGTGTTTACGTTTCAGTTCGTTGACGGTAGTTGTACATGGTGCGTACTCGATGATATTCGGAATAATACAAATTAAATTAAATATCTTTGCATAATGATAAAATTGGTGAAAAAATTGATAAACCTTATTTAAAAGTGAAACGTTAAATATGATGTGTGATATCTAATATCAATCGAGAAATTAATGAATGAAAGATAAATAAGTGTATTTTTTTTTTATTAATCACATTTATATTCAAATAGTAGAGTGCATTTAATGCAGATTAATGATTATGATTATTAACTTTTGGGGATATTATAAATATATAATGATGATATGGAGAGATTTAAATATGTTAAAGATAATTTTAATGATCTGTAACGGAAAATATTAAAGTGGAATATAATGACGATGTTATGTAATGTTCAATAATAAATAAATAGACGAATCTCCAAGAACTATAAAAGTTATCTAAAAATAATTTTATTAATCTATTTCTCTGTTTTAGATGGATTCGAAATTATAGATATCAATATCAAATTCAATGCTTATTTTTTTGTAGGTAATTAATTTATTATTTGATTAAATTTGAATTCTATTTTTTATTTCAGATAATATAAAAACAAATAATTTTGTAAAAACATAAAATACTAATTCTGATAAAATTTCACCAACAATATGAAAATATTGAGTATAAAGAATATAAGCAATGGATTAATTTTTTATAATTTTTTTAATAGTTTTACTTTGTTTCCATTTTTAAAAAATTAAGAAGGAAACATAATTGTAATTATCATATTTATTTTTTATTTTCCTTTATTATATTTATTTTTATGTTATTATCTCATTCAATAGATGATATTTCAAGAATTATCTAAACATTTATTGAAACGTCTATCGTTTAGAAATTTTTCGATTTGAGATAAGAAATTAAATATTTATGTAAATAATATAAATAATATTCTTATACATTATTTAGTTATTGTTTATTGTATATTTATGTTTTGCCTTTTTTCAGTCCATCAATAATTTTTCGCAATTTCATCATCAGATTTCGAAATTGTGTATATCTTTGCATAACAAAAATGGCCAAACTGCAAAATTGAATGATGGCAGATATCATCGTTGAACCAAGCATTGCATCATTTGCAAGATTTTGAAGAAAGGATTTTGATTTCGTTATCGATTCCTCTGTTTTGTGCAAAGAGGCAAAACAATAGTATAAAAGAATCTTGCGGAATACATAAAATCAACGGAGTTGATGTAATTTTAAATTTATGTGAGTATTTATTTCAAATTTTTGATACTTGATAATATAAATTGAACAATGTGTGTGCAGAAGAAAATAATGTGTATATTTTTTATTTTTCGTATCTGCACATAATTTGGAAATGCTAAATTTGGAAATGTCACTTAGAAGTTAAAGATGATTTATTTTTTACTTAATTTTTTTTTCTAAGACTATTTTTTTTTTTTGGAAAAGAAATAATATATAATATGTGTTTAAAACATTTTTTAAAAATGATCGATCTGCAACAAAATACTACGGATTTTAAAGATTCATTACAATTCAATCGGTATAAGTAAATTACATAAGTACAAAAAAATTTTTTAAATTTTCTCTGTGTAAATATATTGGAATGTGTTGTACTTATAACAATATTTTAAGATTATAAATTATAACCTTTTGAATAAGAAAGATATATATGTGATCATTATATATGAAACATGTATAATTTATATTTTCATATTCATTCAAATGAAATTACTAGTATGCAAAGTTTATTATTAGATATTTTAGATATATATTTTTTTATATACTCATACATACTCATATATACTCAATATATACTCATGTGCACTTTACAATATTGTCATTTGGCGTAATATATTTAAATACGCAAAAATAGTTTTTATTATCTGAATTTAAAATATATTTGTATAAATATTTTCGAATGTTAGCAATGTACTTCTTAGAAAAACAAAAAAACGTACATTACCAAATGTAATCACTGACATATTAATTATCTTTCCGGCAGTCATTTTATATTCCATTCCAGATCGTATCATAATCATAATCAGATTAAGAATATCTTTCTCAGATAATCGATACCAGTTCGTCATGTAAATCATATTGCTAACTTTCTTACACCTTTCAGAAAGTATTTCACCGATATAACATATTAAAAATGTGTTTAATGTTATGCACGTTACTGAAAAAGCGTATGCACTGAGGACTCTAACGTCACGTCCATACCATTCCTAAGAATAATTGAATATTATCAATTTTATGCTGTTCATATTATTTGTCACGATTCTATTATTGCTTGAATTTGTGACATTTATACACAATTACGACAATTATATAGAATAGGGACCATTTCATTAATTTCAATTATCTTGGAATCTTATCTAGGCAAAGCATTTCATTAATTTTTAATTCATTGATAATAATATATCTTAAAGTTATAGAAATAGAATAGATGAACTATATTCTATATTATTGAACGATTCTATTAAAAGTGATGAATTTGATAAGTAAGTTGATACATATTTATATCTTAAATCAATATTTTAGAAACATCTTAATATTTTTGTTTACAGATAATAAAAAAATTTCTGGATGATGTACTGTATTATGAATGTGATCATCATGTGATCAATTAGAAAAAATATTTTCAATAGAAGAATGCACAAAACTAACATCTTAAAAACGAAAATCTCAATCTCTTCAATAAATATATTTAAATAAAAAAAAATTTAAGAAATATCATACCGCAAGAATGCAATAGCTAAGCATGCATATACTCAAAATATTCTTGAACATTTCCATGAAGCATATTGGACTCAATAGATGTTCAGTACGTCCTAGAAAACTTCATAGTTAATACGTAATTAGAAAGACTTGTCTCAAGGGGATAAAGATAAATAGATAGATAAAAAGGAGTTAAACAAAAGGAGAAAAACAAAAAGAAATTAACCAAAAAATGTTACCTTAGAATTCTCAAATGATGTTCGATGATCACACTTATTTCATGAATGCGCACATTCTTATTTTGTTCTTGTGGCCGATTTACAAATTCTTCGATCCATGTAATCATTATAGTTAACTGGCTAACAGCGTGACATGCAAATACTGTTGCAAGACTGAAAGCGATAACAACAGTAGCGCTCATAATGTATCCGGCCAGAAATTGTAAACCAAGTACGATGCTGTGCCCTGGATTAGTATCAACCGGTATTTTATAAGTTGGAAAGGGTAAGACATGTATTTCCATACTTTCATTGCCGATTTTAATTGTTTTTTTGAAAACTCCAAATACGGTGCAGAAAGAAATAGTACTAAGTTGTAGGAAGCCCGCGACACAACCGGAAATGATACGACCAATTTTTGCGTTTTTAAGCATTATTTGTTGATCATCTGTCCTCGTGATCGCCTTCCAATCAACTTCCATATGTTCTATACAATAACGTATATCGTCTTTTCGAAGCAATAACACTGCATAATTAAGCCCTCCACCAAAGCAGTAACTTATAGGGCCAAGCGTTTTTAATTTTGAGATAATATCCTCTTTCACGAGAGCAAAATATAACAAGCTTGGTATTATGACGAATAGAGCGATAATCCAACAAAGAAAAATTAGAATCCTTGTCATTATCTTTTCGAATTTCGATGTGGAGGATGGAAGTGGCCATACCCCTATCGTTTTTGAGAACCATCTGTTCAATTGTATGCTGTATTCGTTCAGACTGCCAAACTTCTTTTGAATCGCGGCAATATCATCCGTCATCATGTTTCCTCAACGAAGTTGCAGGAACGACTGAATATCGTATACACATGATGTCGTACAAATAATACGCGTCGATCGATACATATATTCCGTTACCATAACTATTGACAACGGTTAATCCATCTGTTTACGTTTCGTTTCAGTTCGGTGACGATAGTTGCACATGTTGTGCACTCAATGGAATGGTAGGAACTAAATTAGATGTTTTTGCAGAAAAATTCGCAAAAGACTCACTTTTTTTAAGTGAAACGTTTTGAAATATGATGTGCGTTACATAATATCAATCGAGAAATTACTGAATAAAAAATAAAAAAGTGTATTTTTTTTAATCACACTGATATTCAAATAATTGAGCGCATTTAATGCAGATTACAGATTATGATTATTAATAAACATAGTTTTACGAATTTCGCATCATTTGCCAATTTTAGATGAATTCGAAATTATAAATATTAATATGAAATTCAATTCTTTCTTTCTTTTTTTTTATGAATAGTTAATTTATTAATTGTATAAATTTATATTCTATTTTGTATTTCGGATATTATAAAAACAAATAATTTTGTAAAAACATAAAATACCAATTCCGATAAAATTTCACCAACAGTATGAAAATATTGAATATAAACAGTATTATTGACAATGGATTATCTTTTAATAGTTTTATTTTGTTTCTATTTTTAAAAAATTGAAAAGGGAATATAACAAATTGCAATCATTATATTTATTTTTATGATATTATCTCATTCAATAGATTCCATGAATCATCTAAAACTTTATTGAAACACATCTCGTTTAGAAACTTTTCGATTTAAGATAAGAAATTAAATATTTATGTAAATAATGTAAATAATATTCTAGTATATTATTTAGCTATTGTTCACATATCTTAATGTTTTTGCTTTTTTCAGCTTTTTTCCATCAACAGCTTTTCAGAATTTCCTCATAAGAATTCAAAATTGTCTATATCTTTGCAAAAACGGCCAAACTGCAAATATTCAATGATGGCAAATATCATCGTTAAATCAGGCATTGCATCACTTGCAAGATTTTGAAGGAATGATTTGATTTCGTTATCGATCTTTCTATTTTGTGCAGAGGCAAAACAATAATATAAAAGAATCTAGCGGAAAACCAGCGCAATTGATGTAATTTTAAATTATTGTGAGTATTTTTTAATTTTTGATTATTGAAAATATGAATAGGACAATATATGTGCAGAAGAAAATAATGTGTACATTTCTTAATTATTTTTGATATCTACACACATAAAAACGTGAGATGTGCTATGTGCCAAATGAAATCGTTTTAGAAAATAATGAAAATGATTCATTTTTTATTCAGTATTTTTTCTAAATCTATTTTTTTGAAGAATAATATTATGTCTAAATTATTTCTTAACAAACGAAGATGATTGATCTGCAGTTTAATATGATTGTCGCTGTTGTGCTTTAAGTGTTCAATAAAAAAATGTAAGTAAAATACATAAATAAAAAAAACTTCTGAGGTTTCTTTGCATTTAAATCTGTATAGAAATAATTAAATCTGTGTAGTACATATAACTATATTATAAAATTGCAAATTTTGTGATTTTCTGAAAGATGTGATATATATTCGATTATTATAGACATAAAAAATATTTTTTACTATACACTTTCAATTTCATTCGAATGTAATTATTAATATGTTTCGTTTTTAATATATATGTTATATATACATCTATAAATATTATTTATAACATGTTTGTTTCTAAATATATATTCGATACATGTTCTTTTATGTACTCAATACATGTGCATTTTACAATATTGTCACTTGGCGTAATATATTTAAATATGCAAAAGTAGTTTTTATTATCTGAAATTTTTAAATACAAATTTTAAATATATTTGTATGAATATTTTCGAGTATCAGTGATTTTTTAAAATTTTTCTTTTTAAAAGTTGGAAAAAACAGACATACATTACCAAATGTGATCATCGATATATTAATTATTTTCCCGGCAGTCATTTTATATTCGACGCCAGATCGTGTAATAATCATAATCAGATTAAGAATATCTTTGTCAGGTAATCGATACCAATTTGTCATGTAAACTATGTTACCAATTTCCTTACACTTATCACTTAGTACTTCACCGATATAACATAATAAGAACATGCTTAAATATAGGTTTGTTATTGTAAAAGAATTTGCAGTGATGGCTCTAATATCACGTCCTGACCATTCCTACGGAAAGAACGAATGTTTTCAAGTTTATTCATCATTCATTTCGTTTATATTATTTCTTACAATTTTTTTATTGCTTAAATTTTATAAAATTTGTAAAAAAATCTCAGTTATATAAAATTATTATTGTAAATTATAATTATTGAATTATAATTTGTGTTACAGAAATAGGAAAAACGAAGTTATTGAAATTAAATAGAGAATGATTGTATTAAAGGGAATAAATTTGACAAAAAGATCGGACGAATTTATGTATTTAATAACAAATCAATATCTTGAATATATTCCAATATTTTTTACGTAATAAAAAAATTGGAAATTTATGGATCGTTTGTTGCAGTATCAATAAATTCATCATGCAATTAGGCAAAATATTTTTAACATAGAAGTACATAAGTGATCCTCAAAACAAAGCGTACAATGAATATGTTTAAATTCAAGAAATACGTACCACAAGAATACAATAACCAAGCATGCATGTAGTCAATATATTCTTGAACATTTCCGTGAAACATATTGGGCTTAATAGTTGTTCAGTACGTTCTAAGAAACTTCACAGTTCATAAGTAATTAGAAAAATTCTTAGATAATTAGAAAAAAAATGATAGAGATGGAAGAAGGCGAACAGAAATAGAAATAGATGGAAATTATACAAAAAAATGTTACCTTAGAATTCTTAAATGATGTTCGATGATCAAACTTATTTCATTAACGCGCACATTTTTATTTTCTCCTTGTGACCGATTTACAAATTCTTCGATCCATGTAATCATTATAGTTAACTGACCAGAAGCGTGGCATGCAAATATTGTAGCAAGGCTGAAAGTGATAACAACGGTAGCGCTCATAATGCATGCTGTCAGAAATTGAAAACCAAGTATGATACTGTGCCCTGGATTAGTATCAACCGGAAGTTTATAGGTTGGAAAGGGTAAAATGTATATTTCCATACTTTCGTTGCCGATTTTGATTTTCTGTTTGAAAACTCCAAATACGGTGCAATAAGAAATAGTACTACCTTGTAAGAAGCTCGCGATGCAACCAGAAATGATGCGACCAATTTTTGCGTTTTTAAACATTACTTGCCGATCGTCTGTCCTTGTGATCAGCTTCCAGTCAGTTTCCATGTGCTCAATACAATAACGTATATCGTCTTTATAAAGCAATAATATTGCATAACAAAGCCCTCCACCAATGCAATAACTTATAGGGCCAAGCATTTTTAATTTTGATATGATATCTTCTTTCACGAGAGTAAAATGTAACAAGCTTGATATTGTGATGAATAGCGTGATGGCCCAACAGAGAAGAATTAAAATCCTTGTCATTATCTTTTCGAATTTCGATGTGGAGGTGGAGTGGCCATACCCCTATCGTTTTCAAGATCCATCTGTTCAATTGTATGCTGTATTCGTTCAGACTGCCAAACTTCTTCTGAATCGCGGCAATGTCGTCCGCCATCGTCTTTCCTCCACGAAGTTACAGATACGACTGAATGGTATACATGTACGATGTCGTACAAATGATATGCGTCGATCAATATATACATTCCATTACCACAACTATTGACGATGGTTAATCCATGTGTTTACATTTCAGTTCGTTGACGGTAGTTGCACATGGTGCGCACTCGATGACATTCGGAGTGGTAGAAATTAAATTAAATATCTTTGCAGAATCATAAAATTCGTGAAAAAATTCGTAAAACTTTTTTAAAGTGGAACGTTATTTCGAAATATGATGTGTGATATCTAATATCAATCGAGAAATTAGTGAATGAAAGATAAATAAATATAATATGGCTACGAAATATATAATGATGGTATGGAGAGAGTCAAATGAAAAATATGTTAGAGATAATTTTAATGATTAGTAACAGAAGATAATAAAATGGAATGTGATGAAAATGTTGTGCAATGTGAAATAAATGAATTTTCAAGAACTATAAAAGATCTCCAAAGATAATTTTATGAATTTTCTATCTGTCAATTTCAGAAGAATTCGAAAATTATATATATCAATATCAAATTCATTTCTTTCTTTCTTTCTTTTTTTGTAGATAGTTCATCTATTAATTATATAAATTTCAATTCTATTTTGTATTTCAGATATTATAAAAACAAATAATTAAAAACATAAAATACCGATTCCGATAAAATTTCACCAGTAATGATGAAAATATTGAATATAAATAATATTATTGACAATGGATTATCTTTTTAATAATTTTATTTTGTTTCCATTTTTAAAAAATTGAATAGGAAACATAACAAATTGCAATCATTATATTTATTTTATTTTTCTTTATTATATTTATTTTTATGATATTATCTCATTCAATAGATTCCAAGAATCATCTAAAACTTTATTAAAACATATCTTGTTTAGAAACTTTTCGATTTAAGATAAGAAATTAAATATTTATGTAAATAATGTAAATAATATTCTAGTATATTATTTAGCTATTGTTCACATATTTTAATGTTTTTGCTTTTTTCAGCTTTTTTTCATCAATAGTTTTCACAATATCCTCACAAGAGTTCGAAATTGTCTATATCTTTGGATAACAAAAACGGCCAAATTGCAAACATTCAATGATGGCAGATATCATTGTTGAACCAAGCATTGCATCACTTGCAAGATTTTGAAGGAATGATTTGATTTCGTTATCGATCTTTCTATTTTGTGCAAAGAGGCAAAACAATGATATAAAAGAATCTAGCGGAAAACCAGCGCAGTTGATGTAATTTTAAATTTATTGTGAGTATTTATTTCTAATTTTTGATTATTGATAATATGAATTGGATTATGTGCGTGCAAAAGAAAATATTTTTTTATTTGATATCGAAATAATTTTAAAATGTGCTCCATGTTATGTAATAATGAATGAAAATTAATAATTTTTTATTTAATATTTTTTCTATGCTTATTTTTTTTGAAGAATCGTAATGCTATATGTCTAAAATAGTTTTTTAAGAAAGAAAGATAATCGATGTGTTATATAATACGTTTGTCGTTATTGTGATTTTAAACATTCATTTTAATTAAATCGATATAAGTAAAATACATAAATAAAAAAAATTTTTGAAATTTTTTTGCATTCAAGTACATGTTATACATATAATTATATTATAAAACTGTAATTTATGATTTTCTGAAAGATGTGACGTACATTCGATTATTATTCGATTTGATATAAAAAATATTTTTTATACTTTCAATTTTAGTTGAATATTATTATTAATATGCAATACTTGAAATATATATTCGATATATATTTTTTTATATGTTCAATACACGTGCATTTTACAATATTGTCATTTGGCGTAATATATTTAAATATGCAAAAATAGTTTTTACTATCTGAAAATTTAAATATATTTGTATGAGTATTTTCGAGAATCAATAATTGTTTAAAATTTTCTTCTTTCAAAACTGAATGAAACAAACATACATTACCAAATGTGATCACCGACATATCAATTAATTTTCCGGCAGTCATTTTGTATTCTACGCTAGATCGTGTAATAATCATAATCAGATTAAGAATATCTTTGTCAGATAATCTATACCAATTTGTCATGTAGACCATATTACCGATTTCTTTACATTTTTCAGTTAATACTTCACCGATATAACATATTAAAAACGTGCTTAAAGTTATATTCATTACTGAAAAAGTATATGCACTAAGGGCTCTAATATCACGTCCAGACCATTCCTACGAAAAAACGAATATTTTCAATTCTATTTATCATTCATATTGTTTATACTATTTCTTTATTGCTTAAATTTTATGAAATTTATGAAAAATCTTTATTATAAATATATATGTATTTTTATACATTATAATTATTTATTACAGAAATTATATAGAAGATTCGATAAATTATTTTTAATTTTCATGAAATAAGTAAGCAATATTCTCCACTTTCCCTAAGCACAAATGTACGTATTAAATAAAAAATTATATATTAAATACATATTTTAAAAATATTTTAATATTTTTTTACATAATTACCAAATTTGTGAATCATCTGTTACAATATGAATGAATTCTTTATGCAATCGGTCAAAATGTTTTTAACAGAAATACACTAATAAACTAATAATCGAACTAAAAAACGAAATCCACAATTGATTTATGTAAATTCGAGAACTACGTACCACAAGAATGCAATAGCTAAGCATGCATATACTCAAAATATTCTTGAACATTTCCATGAAGCATATTGGGCTCATTAGATGTTCAGTACGTCCTAAGAAACTTCACAGTTATTATATTATTAGAGAAATTCTTCAAAGATAGATCCAAATAGATAGATAAATAGATAGAAAAGAAAAATAGAAAGGCAAAGAAATTATGCAATGTTACCTAAGAATTCTCAAATGATGTTCGATGATCACACTTATTTCATTAACTCGCATATTTTTATTTTCTTCTTGTGGCCGATTTACAAATTCTTTAATCCACGTAACCATTATAGTTAACTGACCAGCGGCGTGGCATGCAAATACAGTAGCAAGGCTGAAAGCGATAACAACGGTAGCGCTCATAATGCATCCTGTCAGAAATTGAAAACCAAGAACGATACTGTGCTCTAGATTGGTATCAACCGGAATTTTATAGGTTGGAAAAGGTAAGACGTGTATTTCCATACTTTCGTTGCCGATTTTGATTTTCTGTTTGAAAACTCCAAATACGATGCCGAAACAAATTGTACTAACTTGCATGAAGCTCGCGATGCAACCGGAAATGATGCGACCAATTTTTGCGTTTTTAAACATTACTTGCCGATCGCCTGTCCTCGTGATCGCCTTCCAATCAGCTTCTATATGATCTATACAATAGCGTATATCGTCTTTACGAAGCAACAACACGGCGTAATTAAGTCCTCCTCCAAAACAATAGCTTATAGGGCCAAGCATTTTCAGTTTTGAAATAATATCCTCTTTAACGAGAGTAACGTGTAACAAGCTCGATATTATGACGAATAGCGCGATGATCCAACAGAGAAAAATTAGAATCCTTGTCATTATCTTTTCGAATTTCGAGGTGGAGGATGGAAGCGGCCATACGCCTATCGTTTTCGAAAGCCATCTGTTCAATTGTATGTTATACTCGTTCAGATTGCCAAACTTCTTCTGAATCGCGCTAATATCGTCCGCCATCGTCTTTCCTCAACGAAGTTGCAGAAACGACTGAATGGTATACACATGATGTTCGTCGTACAGATGATGTGCGTCGATCGATACGTATACCATGTTGTCATAACTGTTGGCAACGGTTAATCCGTATGTTTACGTTTCAGTTCGTCGACAATACTGACATGTGTTACTACAATACTACACGTGCAGTCGGTTGATAGAGATTAAATTAGATGGGATTAGTTGAGCGAAAGAGTTCGTAAAGAAGATATTTATTTGTAGTTGAAGTGCGATTTTAAAATATGATATGATATGATTTGTGAATGTCAATCGAGCAGTAAATGAAAAATATATATATATATATATATATATATATTATTTTTTATTAATCATAATGGTGTTTAAACATTGTATCATATTGACAATTATGTTTTCTGTTTTTTTTCACTATAGGGATAATTTTCAATATAGAAAAAAATCATCTTGAATTTTTGGCTTTAAATAATCTTGATACACAGGATTACTATTGCTTATTTTGAAATTTATATATTGTTTTAAAGTATAATTTTAAAGTATAATTTTGGAAATAAATAAATATTTGAAATAATAATTATTTCGAATTTTAATAAAATTTTTGTTGCCATTAAATATCTATGAAATATTTAGCGATACGAATAGATTTGAATATGCTTAAAATGATTGTATCATCTGTAACAGAGAATAATAAAATAGAATATGAATTATATAATGTAATATAATAAATAGATAGATGAATTTATCACTCACGTTACAAAAGTTAAAATTCCACAAGTTTTTCATTTATCAATTTTATTTGAAGAGTTTGAAATTGTAGATATTAATATTAAACTTCGATTTGAGATATAAATGAGATAAAAATTGTTGTTGAAAGTTGATACTCATGAGCGCAATATGATATTTCTGTACAAATCTATATAATCTATACATCCTTTAACTTAGTATATGTAAATAATGTTCCACAATATCACCTAGCCATTGTTCATGCATTTCTCTTTTCGTCTATTTCTAGCCCACCGACCAGTCTTCGCAATTTCGTCATAAAAATTTGGAACTATGCACAAGCGTGTATAACAAAAACAGTGGCCAAACAACAAGCATCTGCAGTGATGAAATATATTACAAATCTAACCAAGCATTGCATCAACTGCACAACTTGGAAAAACGAGTAAATTGTGGATCAAAAAATCTATAATAGATAAGAGATGTCTGGGATCTTGTTATCAATTATTTTTCTGGGTTTCATACTAAAAGACTACTATCATAGTTGTATAGAAAAATCTTATGAAATCAGCGTAATTGTTATAACTTTAAACATGTGTAAGTATTTATTTCAAATTGTTAATAATTGGTAATGAGTTGAGCAATGTACGTGCAGTGAAATTAAATTAATTTTATCATTTTAGATGAAAAAATAATGTTTATATTTTCAAATTTACTCGAATGTAATTAATAATATTTAATGTTTATTTATGAATATATAATCGATACATATTTTTTTACATGCTCAATACGTGTGCAATTTAGGACATTGTTGTTTGGCGTAATATATTTAAATACGCAAAAACAGTTTTTATTATCTAAAATTATAAAAAAAAAATATTCATATGAATATTTACGATAACCAATAATTTTTATTTCTTTTAAAATTGAGAAATACAAACGTACATTACCGAATGTGATCACTGACATATCCATTATCTTCCCGGCAGTCATTTTATATTCCACACTAGATCGTGCAATAATCATAATCAAATTAAGAATATCTTTATTATGTAATTGATACCAATTTGTCATATAGACCATGTTACCAACTTCTTTACATCTCTCAGTTAATACTTCACCGATATAACATATTAAAAACGTGCTAAAAGTTAAATTCATTACATTAAAAATATATGTACTGAGGATCGTAATATCATGTTCAGACCATTCCTAGAAAAAATGAGTTTTTTCAATTGGATTGATCGCCTGTGTTCATATTACTTTCATGATTTTTTTATAACTTAAATTTGTGAGACTTATAAAAAATTATGACAATTATATTAGAATAGGGTTGATTTCATTAATTTCAATTATTTTAGAACAGATAGTCACTATGTTTCATATCCCAAGAAAATCATCAGATTTAATTCCAACTCAATGATAAACTTCAAAGTTGTTGAAATAGTAGAGACGAATCATAATTTAAATTGAATAAAGAATGTTTTTATTTATTTAATAATAATAATGAAATTTGCATGGTACATAAACATGTGTTCAAATAAATTATTTTTGATATATACAAAACTATTTATTAAACTTGAAAATTAAGGATTTAATAAATATATTTAATTTTGAAAAATGGCGTACCGCAAGAATGCAATAGCTAAACATGCATATACTCAATATATTCTTGAACATTTCCATGAAGCATATTGGGCTCAATAGATGTTCAGCACGTTCTAAGAAACTTCACAATTAATATGTAATTAGAGATATTCTCTAGAGGAAGATAGAAAAAGATAGATAGATAGGAAGAAAAAGACAGAAGAAAGAGAAAGAAACTATACAAAAAGTTACCTTAGAATTCTCATATGATGTTGGATGATCACACTTATTTCATCAATGCGTACATTCTTATTTTCTTCTTGCGGTTGGTTTATAAATTCTTCGATCCATGTAACCATTATAGTTAACTGACCAACAGTGTGACATGCGAATACTGTAGCAAGACTGAATGCGATAACAACGGTGGCACTCATAATGTATGCTGTGATATATTGCAAACCAAGGACAATACCGTATCCTGGATTAGTATCAACCGGAATTTTATAGGTTGGAGAGGGTAAGACGTGTATTTCCATGCTTTCGTTGCCGATTTTGATTGTCCGTTTGAAAACTCCCAATACAGTGCAAAAACAAACAGCACTAATTTGTACGAAAGCTGCGATAGAAGCGGAAATGATGCGACCAATTTTTGCATTTTTAAACATCACTTGTCGATCTGCCGTTTTTGTGATCGCCTTCCAATCAACTTCCATATGCTCTATACAATAAAGTATGTCATTTTTATGATACAACAACACGGCATAATTGAGCCCTCCGCCAAAGCAGTAGCTTATAGGGGCGAGAGTTTTTAATTTTACGATGATATCTTCTTTCACGAGAGCGAAATGTAACAAGCTCGATATTGTGACGAATAGCGTGATGATCCAACAGAGAAAAATAAGAATCTTTGTCGTTATCTTTTCGAATTTCGAGGTGGAGGATGGAAGCGGCCATACGCCTATCGTTTTCGAGAACCATTTGTTGAATTGTACGCTATACTCGTTCAGATTGTCAAACTTCTTCTGAATCGCGGCAATGTCGTCCGCCATCATGTTTCCTCACCGAAGTCGGAGAAACGACTGAATAGTATACGTACGATGTCGTACAGATGATGTGTTTCGATCGATATGTATATTCCATACCATAGCACTGCCATAACTATTGGCAACGGTTAATCCATGTGTTTACGTTTCATTTCATTGACGGTAGTTACACAATATGCACTCTATGGATTAATAGAATTAAATTAGATGTCTAAATGGAACGAAAAAAATTCGTAAAAAAGATATTTTTTATATGTGAAGTGTAATTTTGAAATATGATACATGTTTGGACCTAATGTGGCCAATTTAAGAAGTTAGTGAATAGAAAATAAACAAATAAATGTAGTATTTTTTTATGAATTATAATGGTGTTTAAATCGTACATTATATCATATTGACAATTATGATTTTTTTTCAATATAATCTTTAATATAAAAATGTCGATTTTAATTTTTAACTGCTTTAAATGATCTTGAAACGTATAACATATGAGGATTAGTATTTGTTGTTCTCATATGTGTACATTATTTTAAAGTATATTTTCTGAAATAAATTATATATAAGAAAATATTTTTGTAAAAAAATAAAATATTTTTTCCGATAAAATTTGATCAATATAAAAATATTGATTCTGAATGGTATGAGCGATATGTTAAAGTTTCATTTTGTTCCTATTTCTCAAAATTGGGAACAAAACAGAAGAATTGTAATTATACTATTTCATTACTTACTTTCTTTAGTATTATCATTTGATTATTAAAAGTAGATAATATTCCAAGAAGTATATATATTTCAATATATATCTTACAAATCCAAAAACAATATCTCGTTTAAAAGCTCGATTTTTACAGATTAAAACTGAAAGTTATTAAACATAGTATAATATTGCTACACAATTTATATTTTCTTTATTATATTATATATAAATGATGTTCCAGCCTCCACATTCTTGCTTCCTCCCAATTCATAAATCATTTCAATTCATCTTTCCAACTTTGTAATCAAAATTGGGAATTGTCCACAGGCGTGCATAACAAAAACACTGGTCAAACAACAAGCATCTATAGTATCGGAATATATTAAAAATGCAATTAAGCACTGAATCAGTTACACAATTTCTAAAGATGTACGTGAATGACACGAGAAGCCTACAATAGAAAAAAAATGCTTGGGATTCCACGATCAATCATTTCTTGCCATTTTAAGAAACATCATAGTGATATAGAAGAATCTACTAGCATACATGAAATCGACATAATTGATATAAATTTAGACTTATGTAAGTATTCATTTCAAATTATTGATAATTGACAATGAATTGAACAGATTTGTATGCAATGAGACTAAATTAATTTTATTATTTTAAATGGAAAAAATAATGTTTATATTTTCAAATTTACTCGAATGTAATTGATAATATGCAATATTTATTTTGAATATATATTTGATACATATTTTTTTATATACTCAATACATGTGCAATTTATAACATTGTTGTTTGACGTAATATATTTAAGTATCCGAAAACAGTTTTTATTATCTGAAAATAAAAATATATTCGCATAAATATTTCCGAAATATTTGGGAGATAAACGATATATTTCTTTAAAAATTTAAATAAAATTTAATAGACGTACATTACCAAACGTAATCACCGACATATCAATTATCTTTCCGGCAGTCATTTTGAATTCCACGCTAGATCGTGTAATAATCATTATCAAATTAAGAATATCTTTCTTAGGTAATCGATACCAATTTGTCATATAGACCATGTTACCAATTTCCTTACACCTTTCAGTTAATACTTCACCGATATAACAAATTAAAAATGTGTTTAAAGTTATATTTATTACCGCAACAGTATAAGTACAGAGGACACCAATATCATGTTCAGACCATTCCTAATAAAAAATGAATATTTTTAATTAGATTAATCACATGTTATTCATGATATTATTAATTTCATGATATTATTAATGATTTTTTGTATTTGCTTGAATTGTGAGATTTATAAAAAATTACGACAATTAGAATAAAGTCCACTTATTTAATTGCAATTATCTTGGAATAGATAGTCAAGGTATTCCTCATTTTTAGAAGAAGATTAAGTTTAATTCTAATCGATAATAATGTATTTTAAAATAATAGCGATGAACTTCGTTTTATATGAAATCGAATAGAAAATTGTCCTACTAAAAGTGATAGATTTGACATAGAAATTTATATCTTGAATCAATATCTTTAAAATATATATGTTAATATTTCTATGTATTAGAATATTAAATAATATATTAAATAATAATAATAAAATTTATATCAACATGTGTTTAAATAAGTTATCTTTAACATAAACAAAATTATTATTGATCGTGAAAACGAACAATATTTAACAGATATATTTTAATTTGAAAAATGGCGTACCGCAAGAATGCAATAACTAAACAAGCATATACTCAATATATTCTTGAACATTTCCATGAAGCATATTGGGCACAATAGATGTTCAGCACGTTCTAGGAAACTTCACAATTAATATGTAAATTAGAGATATTCTGTAGAGAAAGATAGAAATAGATACATAGACAGAAAGAGATAGAAAAAATAAAAGTAAACTACATAAATAGTGTTACCTTAGAATTCTCATATGATGTTCGATGATCACACTTATTTCATCAATGCATATATTCTTATCTTTTTCCTGTGGCCGGTTTATAAATTCTTTGACCCACGTAATCATTATAGTTAACTGACCAGAAGCGTGGCATGCAAATACTGCAGCAAAACTGAAAGCGCTAACAACGGTAGCGCTTGTAATGTATGCAGCCAGAAATTGAACACCGAGTATAATATCATGTCCTGGATTAGTATCAACCGGAATTTTATAAGTTGGAGAGGGTAAGACGTATATTTCCATGCTTTCGTTCCCGATTTTGATTGTCCGTTTGAAAACTCCCAAAACGATACAGAAACACAAAGTACCAATTTGCATAAAACCCGCGATGCAACAGGCAATGATGCGACCAATTTTCGCGTTTTTAACCATTATTTGCCGATCCGTCATCCTCGTGATTGTCTTCCAATCGGTTTCCATATGCTCTATACAATAAAGTATATCATTTTTACGAAGTAACAACACAGCGTAATTGAGTCCTCCGCCCATAATATAGCTTATAGGAGCTAAAGATTTTAATTTTACGATGATATCTTCTTTCACGAGGGCGAAATGTAATAAACCTGACATTGTGTCGAATAACGCGATGATCCAGCAGAGAAGAATTAGAATCCTTGTCATTATCTTTTCAAATTTCGAAGTGGAGGATGGAAGTGGCCATACGCCTATTGTTTTTGAGAGCCATTTGTTTAATTGTATGCTGTATTCGTTCAGACTGCCAAACTTCTTTTGAATCGCGGCAATGTCGTCCGTCATCGTGTTTCCTCACCAGAGACGGAGAAACGACTGAATGATATAGGCATGTTGTCGTACGGATGATTTGCGTCGATCAATACGTATTGCCATAGCATTGCCATAACTATTGGCAACGTTTAATCCATGTGTTTATGTTTCATTTCGTTGACGGTAGTTACACAGTGTACACTCTATGGCCTGATTAAATTAAATATATTAACTGAACGATAAAATTTATAAAAAAAGACTTTTTATACAAGAAGTGTGATTTTGAAATATAATATGTATTATTTAATGTCAATTGATGAGTGAATAGAAGATAAATATGTGTACTTTTTTTTATATATTAACTGAACGATGAATGAAATTTATAAAAAAAGACTTTTTATACAAGAAGTGTGATTTTGAAATATAATATGTATTATTTAATGTCAATTGATGAGTGAAAGAAGATAAATATGTGTATTTTTTTTTATTAAGAATAATGATGTTTAAACATTAAAGTTTAACGTATTAAAAATTATAATACGTTATTAATTTATTAAATTGATTAATTAACTAATTTATTATATTAAATTATAATTTTTTTGAGAATTGTTTTTTGTTCCAAATATAAATATAATTTTATAAAGAAATGAAATATCTATTTCGATAAAATGTTATCAATATAAAATAATATAAAAATATTGAATCTCTTGTCTTTTTTTAACATCATACAAATGTTTCACAACTTCGTGCATAACAATAATAGTGATCAAATTATAAACATCTACAATGATTACAATATATCACAAATTCAATCAAGCATTACACCAATTATACGATTTAAAAGGATTGGTGCGTGGGTTGAGGAACCACATAGGTTAGTAGATCGATAAAACGCTTGAGATCTTAAGATCTTTTTATCGATTATGTTTACCCGTTTCGTATATATAGACATCACATCATAATAGACGAATCCATAAAAGAATCTAAGATACGTAAAACTGATGCTTAATTTTAAACTTATGTTATATTTATTTCAAATTATTGATAATAACATCGTAAATTAAATAATACCTATGAAAATTAATTAATTTATTAGATGAAAAAATTTTTTTATTTTCAAATTCACTCAATTGTAATTAATAATATGCAAAGTTTATTTTTAATTATTTATTCAATACATATTTTTTTATGTATTCAATATATGTGCACTTTACAGTATTGTCATTTGGCGTAATATATTTAAGTACGCAAAAACAGTTTTTATTATCTGAAATTTTAAATATAAATATTTTCGAAAGCTAATAATATATTTCTTTAAAAATTGAAAAAAAATTATATAGACTTACATTACCAAAAGTAATCACCGACATATCAATTATTTTTCCAGCAGTCATTTTATATTCTACTTCAGATCGTGTAATAATCATAATCAAATTCAGAATATCCTTGTCAGGTAACCGATACCAGTTTGTCATATAGACTATGTTACCAACTTCTTTACATCTTTCAGTTAGCACTTCACCGATATAACATATTAAAAATGTGCTTAAAGTTATATTCATTACTGCAAAAGTATATGTACTGAGGATCCTAATATCGTGTTCAGACCATTCCTGAGAAAAAATGAATATTTTCAATTAGATCGATCACATATGTTATTGATATTAATTTCATGATTTTTTGATTGCTTGAATTTGTGAGACTTATAAAAAATTACGACAATTATATTATTGTAGAATAAGATTCACTTGCTTAATTGCAATTATCTTGGAATAAATAATCAAGGCGTTCCTCATTCTTAAAAAAAGACTAAGTTTAATTCTAATTGATATATAATGTATCTTAAAGTTTTAGAAATAGAAGAGATGAACCTTATACCCATATAACCCATATAAAAGTTGGATAAAAAATGATTCTAGTGAATATGGTTGATAAATAAAATTTATCTTAAATTTGTCTTAAATTGATGTGTTAACAATTTATCTTTATGTATTATCTTTATATCTTTATATAATATTTGTGTTTACAGTGATATCACAACAAAATTTGTTATGGTACAAATGGAGCCATTAACGTGCGATTATTTTTGCATGCAAATTATTTTCAACACAGAAATGCATAAAACTAATAGTTTTGAAAACAAAGTTTTAAATAAATATATTTAAATTTGAAAAATATATGCGTACCGCAAGAATGCAATAGCTAAGCATACATATACTCAATATATTCTTGAACATTTCCATGAAGCATATTGGACTCAATAGATGTTCAGTACGTTCTAGGAAACTTCATAGTTAATATGTCATTAGAGAAAATCTCTAAGAAGAGATAGCAATAAATAGATAGATACAAAGAGAGAAAGAGAGAAAGAGACAGTAGAAACAGAAAGAAAAATATATATATAATCTACAAAAAGTGTTACCTTAATATTCTTAAGTGATGTTCGATGATCATACTTATTTTATCAATGCATACATTGTTATTTTCTTCCTGTGGCCGATTTACAAATTCTTCAATCCATGTAACCATTATAGTTAATTGACCGATAGCGTGACACGCAAATACCGTAGCAAGACTAAAAGAGATAACAATAGTAGCGTTCACAATATATGCCGATAAAAATTGCAAACCCAGGACAATACCATGTCCTGGATTAGTATCAACCGGAATTTTATAGGTTGGAGAGGGTAAGACGTATACTTTTATGCTTTCATTGCCGACTTTGATTGTCTGTTTGAAAACACCCAATACAGTGCAGAAACAAATACTGTCAACTTGCATGAAACCTGCGATGCAACCGGAAATGATGCGACCAATTTTTGCGTTTTTAAGCATTACTTGCCGATCCTTTGTTCTTGTGATCGCATTCCAATCGGTTTCTATATGGTCTATACAATAACGTATGTCATTTTTACGTAGCAACAACACAGCATAATTGAGTCCTCCGCCGAAGCAATAGCTTATAGGACCGAGAGTCTTCAATTTCGAGACGATATCTTCTTTCACGAGAGTGAAATGTAATAAGCCTGATATTATAACGAATAGCGCGATATTCCAACAGAGAAAAATCAGAATCTTCGTCATTATCTTTTCAAATTTTGAGGTTGAGGACGAAAGTGGCCATACGCCTATCGTTTTCGAAAACCATCTGTTCAATTGTATGCTGTATTCGTTCAAACTGCCAAACTTCTTTTGAACCGCGGAAATATCGTCCGTCATCGTGTTTCTTGTACGAAGTCGGAGAAACAACTGAATGGCATATACACATTATTAGATGATGTGCGTCGATCGATACATATATTCTGTTGCCATAACTATTGGCAACGGTTAATCCGTGTGTTTACATTTTACCTTATTGGTGATAGTTACACAACGTGAAGATTATAGAGATTAAATTAGTTATCTTAACGAAACGATAAAATTTATAAATATGGTACATTTTATAAATAATGTATGATTTTGAAATATTTGTATTACTTAATGTCAATCGAGAAATTAATAAGTGGAAAATTAATATATGTGAATTATTTTTTAATATTATCACAGTGACGTTTACATACAGTGTAACATACTAAAGATAATAGTTATTTATTTTTTCGAAATAATTTTCAAAGTGAAAAAAATCAATCTTATTTTTTCCCTGATTTTAAATAATTTTAAAACTCATTGAATATATTTTTCAAATTGTTTATTCTGAAGTTTATCTTAGAATGTAATTTTTGTAATAAATTAAATTTTCGATGTAAAAAAAGAAAAATCAACTTTAATAATATCTTGAAATAATAATTATTTTAAATTTTGATAAATTTTTTGTTACCGTATCATGAAATATTTATGTAGTAAGAGTACGAAGTAAACTTAAATATGCCAGAGATGATTTTAACACCTGTGAAAGAGAATAATAAAATAAAATATAATTTATACAATTTGATGTGAAGAATGAATTTATCACTTACGCTACAAAAACTACTCAAAGATAATTCCACGAGTTTGCCAGCTGTCAATTTTGTCGAAGAATTCGAAGCTGCAGATATCAATATCAAACTGAGTGCTTTCTTTCCTGGTAAACGGTGCCAATCAATCATATAAGCTGACAAACCAATATTTCTACACTATAATATATAATTAAATGTGAATTCTCCTTTTTATTTCAGATAATAAAAAAGAATAATTTTGTAAAAAAAAAAACTACCTCTTCCGATAAAATTTCACCAATATAACATAATATGAAAATATTGAATATAAGCGATATGAGCAATATACAATAGGTTAAGGTCCCTATAGTTTCACTTTGTTCCCATTCCTAAAAATTCAGAACGAAAGATAATAATTATCACATTTATTTCGATGTTATCATCTCATTACCTTAAGTAAAAAGTATCCCAAGAAACATATATTCAGCGTACATCCTATAAATTCAACGAAACATATTTCGTTTAGAAGTTCTTCGATTTGGGATATAAAACTGAAAATTGTTATCTATAAACACAATACGATATTTCTATATAAATCTCTATATAATTTACACATTCTTTACCCTAATATATGTAAATGATGTTCCACAATATTGCCTAGTCGTTGTTCATGCACTATGTTTTCCATGTCTTTGTCTCCTTTCAATCCATCGATCAATCTTCGCAACTTTATTACAAGAATTTGAAATTGTCCACAGGCATGCATAACAAAAACGGCGGCCAAACTGCAAGCACCTACAGTTACGGAATATATCACAAAACCAGCTAAACATTGCATCAATTGCACGATTTCGAAGGATGGGCTGGTGCGTGGATCGAGAAGCTCACGATAGATTGGAAACGCTTGAGATCTCACGGTCTCGTTATCGATTATCTCTGTCCGTTTTGTGCAAAGAGGCATCACAGTAGTGTAGAAAAATCCACCAGAATACATGAAACCGGCGCAGAAAATCGCCAGTGATCGACCAATTCTCGCGTTCTCCATCATGATTTTTCTATCTTCCAAACAGTGTTGCGAAGAAACACGTGACCAGTCAATTCGAATGTTCTCGATGCACTTACCGATGTACGATCCACGCGAAAGGAGAACGTAATACTTGATCGTCGCCATGATACAGAAACTAAACGGACCGATCATTTTAATCTTCGTATCGAGATCTCCTGTTTTGTCAAGGAGAGTGCATAGGGTGCAGGGTACGAGGAGGAAACCTATCAGAAAAATACTGATTAAAGTGAGAATCACAGAATGGATTTTCTCTGTGGTGGTGACGCACAATGAGAGAGGCCAGATACCGATTGCTTTCAGCAACCAACGATTTATCTGAACACTGTACATCCAATCTTTGCTGTACGAGACGGATGGCGAATTCGTAAGTACGAACATAATGGTAATTGACAAGGCGAAAGTGCACGGATAACTGAAGGGAAATGTAACGTACAAAGGCGATACTCATCGATTAGTGAAGCTTTCGATAATGCGCATGTGCTAATTTCAATACTTTCGACTAACGATAAGTCGATTCATACGAGTTGCCAGTGCGGTTGAACTCTCTGTCGACCACCAGTTGATTCGATTCATAATCTTATATTAAATAATGAAAACATACATAGATGTGTTGTATATATTGTGAAAATATTAAAGAGGTTAGTTTTTAGATTAGTTTTTAGAATTTTATATTGTGAATCGATATTTTTGTTTTCTGTTTCGATTACAGTAGTTTTTTTGAAGATAATAATGAGTAATTTTTATAAATTCATTTTAGATATTTTTTGTATGATCGTTCAAATAATAATGATTACATGGGACGATGATTATTAAATTGGATATCTTCTTAGGATGGTAAAATTTATAAAAAGGATTTTAAATACGATTTGAAAACATGTGTTGCAAGCTGGAAAATACCAATCAAGAAATTAATAAGTCAAGGTATAAAATTTATATTTTTTCTTTTTAATAATTTGTTTGATTTTTTAATATTGCACTGTACTGTATCGAAATTTATGGATATTGAATATATCACGATTAAAAAAATTAATCTTTATTTTTCTAACTTGTAATAATCTTTAATAATATAGTATTGTTATTAGAAAAATTCGAAATTAATATATAAAAATAATGAGAAATATTTTTATATTTTTAATATTACAAGTTTATGTATTAATACTTTAAAAGCGTAATTCTGTTAAGTCATTTGACGTAACAGATTCAAATAAGCAAAAGCAGTTTTTATTACCTGAAATAATAATATACTTTATAATAGTTGAAAGATACATGTAAATGTGATTAAGCATATGACTTACATTACTAAAGGTATATATGGACATATGAACTAGCTTATAAGCAGTAATTTTAACCACCATGCTGGATCTTAAAATGATCTGTATTAAATTCAATATATCTTTTCCAGGTAAATAATACCAGTTTGTCATATAAACTGCTTCACCAATCATTTTACACTATTGGAAATTTTTATGATAAATGTTGGTTATGCTTTGAATCAATTTATTCATTTATCAAATCGCGTATCTGTTACCTGTTCTGTTAGTATTTCACCGATATAACATATTATAAAAATATTGAAAATCATGGAGAAAAGTATTACTGAAAATACGATCAGATTCTGAATATCATGACCAGTCCATGCCTAAAAAAAAAATTTTAATTAGATTATTTATCTGTAATGTATACTTCAATTTAAATATTCTAGAATTTGTTACATTTGCATAAAAATAAGAAAAATTAGATAATAAGTAATAATTTGATATAAGTTCTTAAAATTATTCGTTAACGTGATATTATTATTGACAATTTCATTGATTATTATCAGAATGATTATAAACAAAGTTATAGAAAAAAAAACACAATGAAAAAAGCATATTTGTTATTAAAAGAATAAATAAATTTCTTATTTAAAGTTCTAAGATTCTTTCTAAATCTGTTAAAAACGTACCGTAAGGATATAATATCCAAGCATACATATGTTTACAGTACACTTGAACAATTCCATGAAACATATTCCACTCATTACATTTTCGATACCTGTTATAAAACTACAATCAATGTATATTTAAAATCACTTTCAAAAACTAATACAAATACAAAACACAAATACAAATATTTAACAAATTAAGTTTTTCACCTCAAAATCCTCAAATGATGTCGAATGATTTCGCCAATGTCATTCAATATAACATTCTTATCTTGAATGTTTGAGTGATTCACAAATTGACGGATCCACGCCATCAGGACATTTACTTGGCCACAAGCATGAGCCGTGAATACGGCTGCGATACTAACAGCTCCAACTGCACTCGAATTTACAATGAATCCGGACACGAATTGTGATGCAATAATAATTTCATTTGTGGGGCTTGTATCGGCCGCGATTAATTTTTTGTATACTACACAAGGTATCATATGTATAATCCTGGTTTCATTTCCAATCTCGACAATTTGCGTGGAGAATGCAGTCACCGCGCAATAGGACAAAACGCCACCTTGCATGAAAGCTGCGCAGAACACAGCTATGTAACGGCCTATCTTTGCATGTTTTATCATTACTTGTTGATCTTCCGTTTTCGTTACGATTTTCCAATCTCTCTGCATGTGTTCAATACAATACCGTATCTCTTTGTTCCGTAGTAACAACGTGGTGTAATTAATACCACCTACCAACCAATGACTCAATGGACCGAGTACTTTCAATTTCTCATGGAAACTGTCATCTTCCAGGATCACGTGCAATAGGCAAGGGATCACGGTGAAACATATAAAGCAATAACAGCAAATAATTAAAACGAAAGAAATAATTTTCTCGAGTTTTGTAGTGGACGGAGATGGAGGCCATGCGCCTATTGGTTTTAAAAACCATCGATTTAACTGTACACTGTAGTTGCTGAGACTGTGATTGTTCTGCTCGATTGCTACTTGAAACTTGTCGATCATTGTGGCTACTTGCGAATACGACTGGATCGAATATTATCCATGAATGAAGTATGGATATAGTTGTATAACTCTATGCTTGCGCAGAATTTTTTTCTGTGATTGTAGAATCGATTCGTCTAGTCGGTCTCCGCAACTTGTTGCAGAGTTATACGCGAATATGTAGGGTTGCGAGTTATTGATAGCTATCGTGGGAATAAACAATGCGCGATTATTATAGCAATTTATTGCTTATCATCTCGAAATGAAATTTATAAGTTATTATACGTAGTGTTGTGCTTAGAAAAATGAAATATGGTGAATAATCTTGAAAATGGAATTTTTAAAATATAAAAAAAATTATATCTTTGTTTCTATTTTTAGAAAATTGTGATTTAAAACTACATTTCTTTACATTTCTTTTAAAGACGAAGTAAAAGACACATCACATATATTTAAAACTTAAGTATGTGTCAGAAATAAATATATTTCGATATGTTTCAGATTTCAAACATCTAAGAGAATTAAGAAGATCACGGAAGAAATAGATGAATCAGACATCATCAATGAATTTCTATATCATTAATTTTAAAATATACATATAATTATTTGCAAGGTATAAAATTTATGATATCCTATTTAAAATATTGCAAATTGAAAATATTGTGAAATAATGAAAGATTTCATTTTGAATTATAATATGAAGAATATGATTGTATAATATAAAAATGAAATACGATATATATATATTAATCTTTATCTCTTAAATCTTACAAGTTTATGTTTAGAGTTACAAGTGCATTTCGTTACGTCATTTGACGCAACAGATTCAAATAAGCGAAAGAAGTTTTCATCACCTGAAGTAACAATATATTTTACAGTAATTAATAAATATATACGAATATGAATAAGCATATGACTTACATTACCAAAGGTGTATATGGACATATGAACTAGCTTACCAGCAGTGATTTTAATCACCATGCTGGATCTTAAAATGATCTGTATTAAATTCAATATATCTTTCCCAGGTAAGTAATACCAGTTTGTCATATAAACTGCTTCACCAATCATTTTACACTATTAAAAATTTTTATGATGAATATTGATTACGATTTGAATTAATTTAATTTATTAGATAATATGCCTGTTACCTGTTCTGTTAATATGTCACCGATATAACATATTATAAAAATATTGAAAATCATAGAGAGAAGTATTACTAAAAATACGACCATATTCTGAATATCATGAACGCTCCATGCCTGAAAAATAAAAAACTTTTTAAATTAATAATCGACTGTAATATTAGTTAAGTTAAAATATATGCATTTATATTTATACATATATGCATATACATTTCGTTTAAAAGTTCTAGAATTACTTTTTAAATTATTCGTTGACGATCTGATATCATTGATAATCATTGAAGGCTTTAACTTTATTGATAATCTTTTGAACGATTACAAACATTGACACAAGTCGTCGAAAAAAAAAACACACAATAAAAAAAGCATACTTGTCATTAAAAGATAAAATCAATTAGGAAACACAATTTTCTAGATCTTTAAAACGTTTCGAGATTTTTGCTAGATCTGTTAAAAACGTACCGTAAGAATATAATATCCAAGCATGCATATGTTTATAGTACATTTGAACAATTCCATGAACATATTCCAGTCATTACATTTTCGATACCTGTTACAAAACTGTAATCAATGTGTACTTAAAAATCTCTCTCACCAAGATCACATAACAAAAATTGAATAAATCAAAATTAAATAGAATTAAAATTTTACCTCAAAATTCTGAGATGGTGTCGAACGATTTTGCCTATCTTGTCCAATCCGATACTTTTATCGTGAATTTTTTTCGAATGGTCCACAAATTCACGAATCCACACCATCAGAAGGCTTAATTGGCCGCAGGCGTGAGCTGCAAATACGGCTGCGATACTGACAGCCCCGACTGCACTTGAATTCACGATGAATCCGGACACAAATTGCGATGCAATAACAATCTCATTTGTTGGGCTTGTATCGACCGCGATCAATTTTTTGTACGCTGTACAGGGTATCATGTGTATGGTTTTAGTCACGTTTCCGATCTCAATCGTTTGCGTGGAGAATGCTGTCACTGCGCAATTGGATAAAACACCACCTTGCATGAAAGCGGCGCTAACCACAGCTATGTAACGGCCTATCTTTGCGTGTTTCATCATTATTTGTTGATCCTCTGTTCTTGTCACGATCCTCCAATCTTTTTGCATGTGTTCTATACAATACCGTATCTCTTTGCTCCGCAGTAACAACGTGGTGTAATTAATGCCACCTATGAACCAGTGACTCAATGGGCCAAGCACTTTCAGTTTGTCACGGAAACTTTCATCTTCCAAGATCACGTGCAGTAGGCAAGGGATCACGGTGAAACATATGGAGGAATAACAGCAAACAATTAAAACGAAAGAAATAATTTTCTCGAGTCTTGTAGTGGACGGAGATGGAGGCCATGCGCCTATCGGTTTCAAAAACCATCGATTTAATTGTATACTGTAGTTGCTGAGATTGTGATTGGTCTGCTCAAACGATACAAACTTGTCGATCATTGTGACCACTCAACGAAGTCGCGAACACGATTGAATCGAATATTTTCTTTGAATGGAGTATAGATATAGTTTCACGACGCTTGCGAGAATTTTTTTGTCTCGATATATGTCGATCGATTTGTCTAGTCGGTCTTTGCAACTTGTTGCAGTGCGAATGTATAGGGTTAGCAGTTATTGATAGCTGTCGTGGGAATATGCAATGCGCGATTATTTGAACGCTTATTTATTTTATTGCTTATCGTCGCGAAATGAAATTTGTGAGATATTTCGTGCAATGTTCAGAAAGGTGAGATGTGCTCGATTATCTTGAAAATAAAATTTGTAAAGTATCGAGAGAAATTATACTTTTGCTTCTCTTTTCAGAAACTTGTTATTTAAAAATTATTTGTATATCTTTGAAAAATGAAGTAAGAGACAGGACATCTGAAATTTGATTATTTGTCAGAAATTTTATATTGTGATGTGTTCCAGATTTTAGATATCTGAAAAATTAAGGAGATCGAAAAATGGATGAATCAGACGCCATAAAAGTTATCCGATTCATGAATTTCAACTGTATCATTGATAAATTTTAAACGGTGATTAATACAATGATTTTTGGTAAAGTATAGAATTTATGTTTTTTTTATTTAGAATATTGCAAATTTTATCTATTTATGAAATAATGAAACGTCTCAATTTTATTTTGAATTACAAATTGATTTTAAATTATATAAAAATGGGATATGATGTATATATTAATCTTTATATCTTAAGTTTTACAAGTTAATGTATAAAATTACATAAAGTACGTCACGTATTTAATCACGTCACATGTCGTAATAGATTGAAGTATGTAAAAGTTGTTTTCATTACCTGGAATAACGATGGCTTTTATGAAGATAAAATTTTATAATGACAGATATATATAAAAGTAATAATCTTACATTGCCAAATGTATGTATAGACATATGAGTTAGTTTACCAGCTGTGATTTTAATAACAGCATTGGATCTTGAAATGATCAGAATCAAATCAAGAATGTCTTTACAAGGTAAATAATACCAGTTTGTCATATAAAGTACTTCACCAACTTTTCTACACTATAGAATTTAAAATTGATTATATTTCGAATCAATCATGATATTGTATGGTTTATTACCTGTTCCGTTAATATGTCTCCAATATAACATACTATAAAAATGTTAAAACTCATGGACGTTAATATCATGAAGTACGTAGTCAAATTACGAATATCACGATCGGCCCATTCCTGAAAAAATAAATATTTCAATTACCTATATTGTACGAAATGAAATTAATCATAGATACTTTTAATTCTGTTAATTTATCGTAATGAAAATTATAAAAATAATTTTTTATCAAAATTATTAATTAAAATAATATATTAATATTTTTTTCTCGTACCGTAAGAATATAATATCCAAGCATAGATATGTCTAACGTACTTTTGAATAATTCCATAAAGCAAAATCGATTCAACACATCCTCGATACCTGCTATGAAACTGCAATTAATATGTACTTAAAAAGGCACAGAAAAGAATATCGCAAATAATAATCAACAAATAGATCTTACCTTAAAATCCTGAGATGATATTCAACAATCTCACCTATTTCATTAATTACAATGTTCTTATTATTATCCTTCGATCGATTTATGTATTCACGAATCCATCTTGTAATTATTGTCAATTGGCCACAAGCATGAGCTGTGAATACGGCGCCAATGCTGATGGCGCCAACCGCGATCGAATTTACTATAAATCCAGACACAAATTGAGAAATAAGAACAATTTCATTGGTTGGACTCGTATCAATTGAGATTAATTCTTTGTACACTGCACACGGCAACATATGTATGATCCTTGTCTCGTTACCGATTTCGATAATCTGCGTGGAGAAGGCAGTTACCACGCAATAGGTTAGAACGCCACTCTGCATGAAAACAGCGCACAAAGCAGCGATATACCGCCCTATCTTTGCATATCTCATCATAATTTCCTGATCCTTCGCTCTATTCACGATCTTCCAATCCGTTTGCATGTGTTCTATGCAATATTGTATTTCTTTGTTTCGTAGTAACAATGTGGTATAATTAATTCCACCTATGAACCAATGACTGAGCGGGCCGAACACTTTCAGTTTCATATGTAGATTTTCGTCTTCGAGAACGATGTGAAACAAACAAGGGATCACGGTGAACAATATAAAGCCGTAACAAAGTAAAATTAAAAAAACGAGACGATTCTTTCGAGTTTTGAACTTGACGAGGATGAAGGCCATGCGCCAATTGGTTTCAACAACCATCGATTTAATTGCAAGCTATAATCGCATAGACTATCAAAACTTTCTTTCGATATTACAGACTTGTTCGTCATCGTGTCCATCGAAGTTGTGGAAATGTCTGAATCGAATATTCCCAATAAAAGAAGTATGCTCATCAAGTTGCATAACGCTTGCGCAAAGTTCTTTGTACGATTATAAGCTGATCGATTAGTTTAGTTAGTCTTGACAATTTGTTGCAGCGGTATACACAAATGTAAATACGTATTAGAAGTTGATGATTATTCAATGAATAGTGCGATAGAGACTTGATAAATTTAATTGAAATGATATGAAAAAAAAATGATATAAAATCATAATAAAAATGTGAAATGATAGTGCATTCGATGACATATTTTGAAATTAATTTTTTATAAATATAATTCAATTAAAAAATGTTATTGATATTTAATATGTTAGAATATGTAGATATTGAAACTATTGATATTGCATTAGAATTACGTTTGAATAATGATAAACAAAGATAAATTGATTTTTATGTATACAAATCTATTTAGATTTTGATACAATTAGAAAATAAAAATGACTCAAAAAAAAAATAATAATAATAATACGTATCAGATATAACGGATACGTAAAAATCAAAATAATGTTTTATATTATTATCAATGATTATTTTTAATTTAAGAATCAACAAAATTGTTAAGTTTGGGATAATAAATATCCGTATCATATTCAAAATCAATTTCATTTTAATACAATATATATAGACACGTGATCTTTTTACAACAAATGTCTATTTACTATCAAAAGTAAATATCTATATTATAAAAAGTATGGTTTAAGTCAATGCTCGCAACATGTTTAAAAAAGCCACCGACGTTTTTACAACCTATTTGTTTAAGACACTTTCGTTAATTTATAAATTCAAACGAGAAGAATTAATAATTAAATACTTACGTCACTAAAAGTATAAATAGATAATTCAACCATATTTCCAGCTGTAAATTTTATCGATGAATTAGACATTGCAATGATTAAAACGCAGCAAAGTTTTTTCTTGCCTTTTAATCGATACCATTCGATCATATATGTCATTTCTCCAACTTTCTGACACTGTATTGAAACATTATTAATTTTTCATTAATTTCTATATTTCTATTGAATTGTTTAAAATTAATTGAAATATTATTGCAGGTGTTTCCAGTAAAAATATCCTACCTGTTCGGCAACCAGATCACCTATATAACAAAATATAAAAATGTTGAAGGTGAACGATATGAGTAATGATATGTAAGTTAACGAAACTGATATTTCTTTTGGATTCCATTCCTATAAAATCAATGAAATTTGGCTTAGTGTGTCTATTCTTTTGAAATTTTTTATTGCATGCATACCACTATTAGATAATATCCAAGAAAGCACATATTCATTGTGCAACCTAAAAATTCTACGAAAGATATTTGTTGAAGCGCTTTTTCTGTAAGAGCCAAAAATCTGAAATATAACGAATATAAATTGAAATAAAAATAATGCACATTCGAATTAAAAATGAAAGTAAGATATATTTTTCTATTTGAAATTCTTATAAATAAATAAAATAAGAATTAAAAATTCCATAACAATTTTATTTCGAATATTTAAAATTTGATTTTTATTTTTATCTAATTTCGAAGATGCGATGATTCTTAAAAACCAGTAGAATATTCGAGAAATTTATTTATAAATGAATAAAAAGAAATTTTTAAATTTTACATTAAAATTGTTAAATTTTTAATACCAATATTTTTCTTAGTCATTTTTCGCTTTAATTATGATATAAAAAAATAATTATGTACGTATTACCCACTTCAATATCCGATCATGCTGAACCACAATTTTTGCGATTCTCTTATCCACGATTTTGTTCATATCCGATCGGCCATCTACCAAGTATTCCAACCAATTCATTAACATTTTCATCTGTCCACACGCGTGCACTGCAAACATGGCGGCTATGTTAACTGCCGCTGCTGTTATTGCGTGTATGATAACACCTGATAAAACTTGAATGAAGAATAAAATTTCGTTAGCCGGGCTCTGACGCACATCAGTGATCAATTTCGAAGAAGGGAACGGCAATGGTATAAATGTTAAATTTCCATCCTTATTTTACCCACGCTGATAGGTACAACGAAGTAGTAAAAGACAAATGCACTATACACGAAAAAGATGGAAATCAATGCTAGTTTCTTTCCATAATTCGCATATTCGATCATGATTTTCTTATCTTCTTGATGCTCCACGTTTTTCCAATCCCATTTGATATGCTCGATACCTTTGCGGATATTGTCTTTGTGAAATGTTAAAAGATAATATTTCATCAGCGTCATTATGAAAAAACTCAATGGACCGATCATTTTGATTCTGTTGTACGTATCTTTCACTTCAACAAGCAAGAACATGTTAGACGATGCGAGCATAAAGCTGATTAAACCGTAAAAAACGATACTGATCAACACGGAATAACATTTCCCTATTCTAGACTCGCGTAAATTTGGCCATGTACCGAGACATTTCAACAAAACACGATTCCATTGTATGCTCAAATTTACATTCGTCTCATAATCATCCTGGACGATGATAGATTGATTTTTTTCCATTGTTGACATTCGATAGTTGGCTAGATACTGAATATAGGTGGACGAAGATTGCAGAGGAAAATAATATTGCGCCTGCGCTTAAATTATAACTCGAGAGAGAGGATAAAAGAAGTAATATTTTTCAAAGGGTCCGACCCCTTTTAGTTATTAGTTTCTTCAGTTTATACATTATGTATACAGAGATGAGGGTTGATGACATAGAATCATCGATAAATTGATTTTTTCAAGCGTCAGTAGTGCACGAGTGCCTTAGTGTGTAGCAACAGGTTGATGGAATTTCTGAAGAATTAGAGTTTCTATTAAGGGATTAAAAGATTGAAAAATTCTCGTGTTTGATAGGTGTGTATAATATTATCGGAATTATAGTAATATTGTTAGAAATGTATGTGAATATCATAAATGAATATTATTTTAGAATGAATTTTTGTTGTTAAAATGAATAAAATATTAATTTTTTCTTTTTTATAATTCTTTTAATTCAGTTTGAATTTTAATGATAATTTCATCTTAAAATTATTGAATATTATTATAAATACAAATATCAAATATTAGTTAAAAAGATAAAGGAAAAAAATGTCAATTTTAATTATAATTAATTGCATGAGAATGATTAATACAAGAAGTTGTGTAATTTTTATTCTTAAAAAAATTAAAATATAAATATGTGAAAATTAAGTCAAAAAAAAGTCAATATATAACTTTCTATACTATACTTAATTAGATGTGTATGTTATATATATATATATATATATATATATATATAAC